TTAATGGTTTGAGATTCCAGCAAGTGAGCCACTTCCTCTTTCATTGTTTCTTGATGCTGTGTAGCCGACCTCCGGAGCTTTTGTTTGACTGGCTTGTAGCTCAGATCTATATTTAAGCGATGACATGCCACTTCTGGCGGTACGCCGAGCATGTCGATGGTTCTCCAGGCAAACACATTGGCGTATTCTTTCAGTAGTGTGACGAGCTCTGTCCTTTGTTTAGAACTAAGAGTCGTTCCTAACAAAAAATATTTTTCCTGACCATCATCATTGTCTAGAGGTACTCTAGTCAAGTCTTCACTGTTAGGACTGTTTTTTGACAGCTTGATCGACAGGGTCAATCGAGCTGTCCGAGGTTGATTGCTATTTCTTCTGTTTTGCCATAGAGTAGTTTTCTTGGTGCTCTGCCTTGTCCTTAGATTTGATAGAGGCCAACAAGCAACTTCTAAAACTGACCTGGTCCCCTCGGATATTTACCACTCCATCAGATGAAGGGAACCTTAACATTTGATGGTACTGCCTTCATCTCGTGTAGCCAAGTGCGCCCCATTATTGCATTATATGCCGAGACCGTATCCACTACCAAGAACTCGGTCATAACGCAAACTGGTCCTGTCTTTACAGGTAACATGATATTCCCCTTAGGAATAGTGTTATCAGAATTGGACCGGACAGTGAACCGAGACCTTCAACGGTCCGATTTAGTAAATAGACCGTTTGGATAATTAAACCGTTGGAGAACCGAAAAACCGGTCGGTTTAAGCCAAAAACCGGTGAACCGAAACCAGCCTTCATCTTCTTCGTCTTCTCCAGCTCTTGAATAGCGGCACACAACACCACAAATTAGATCTTGAACACCAAACCTCCTCTTCTTTGTCTTCCCCAAATCGAGCTCTCGTACAGCGGCTTGACATCACAGATCTAGATCTCGAACACCAGAATCCAGATGGTCCAGATCTCGAACACTAGACCCCTCTTCTCTGTCTTCTTCAGTTCTTCTTCTTCTCCTCTCTCCCTTTCTCTTTCCACGCACACACACAATCAAAGTCACAGTTAGCAATAGAGTAAAGAGATGCTACTGGGTCTTCTCATTTTCACTGTCTTTCTCTGTCTACACGCGCACACACACAGTCTATGATTATATATGGACAATACTTTAATACATAAATGCTTGTTAGAAAGTTAGTAATTATAAATCACACCCCCAAATTGAATAAAATCTCCAAATTAGAAATTTAGAATACTACTTTGTGGATTTTATTTTTATTGTGATTGTGGATTTATGATTGGTATGAAAAATTGTATGTATTGTGAACATATTTTATATTTTTTTGCTAAATTATTATATTTTATAATTTTTTTTATTATATGATCGGTCCGACCAGTTGAATCACCGGTTGAACCAATGAACCATTGACCCAATCCCTCTGTTGGTTCACTATCCAGTCCGATTCTGATAACATTGCTTAGGAAGGACTGTTTTTCCACTGAAGCTGATAAGTGGAGTATTTGAGGGCTTGAGGTCCTCTTTCTTGAGACTGAGCTTTTCGAATAGATCCATATACATGATTTCTGATGAACTTCCCGGATCAATCAAGACCCTTCTCACGTCAAAATTCACAATTTGAAGTGTGACGACCAGAGCGTCATTGTGCGGTTGGTGAACACTAACCAAGTCTTGCTCGGTGAAACAGATCACTTCAACAGTATCCTCTATCTTGATTCTTTTATTAGCGACCTCCGGGGTCATCCTTAACTCATACACTTCTCTCTCTTTGACAGCTTTATGAATATAAGCCCGAGCAGAGTTGTTTGTGAACATCTGAGGGTTAGTGGCAACATGGATCACATCAATTACCCCAGCTGGAGTGTTGTGGTCCCCTTTTAGCTCGACATTCCCCCCGTTTGTTTTTTGCTCACTTTCAATGAACTTTGCGAGGTGTCCAGCCTGGGCTAACTCCTCTAGATGTTGTTTCAGAGATCGGTAATTCTCAGTCATGTGTCTAATATCTCTGTGATACGAGTACCTAAAGTTTGGATTCCTTTTAGATAGATCACTTACTAACTTGTTCGGCCATTTGAAGAAAGGCTTTCCTTTGATCTGACTTAGAATCTTGTAAATTGATTCCTTGAACAATGTGTTCACCCCCAGAAAAGGGGATTTCTGGGGATATCTATCCTTCTCATATTTTCGTCCTCCTTCTCAGTTCGGCTCGGTTTGCTTTTCTCTACCGAGCTGTCTTCTGCTCGGATATTCCTTAACTACTTCCTTGGATAAGTCGTCATCAACCTTGACATACTTTTTAATCATTGCCATCAATTCCTCCAAGTCAATAGCAGGTCTCCTTGTGAGTGATTGGTATAAAGGGTTTTCTTTCAGCAAGCCGATCTTGAAGGATATAACTGCAATATCTAGATTGCATCATTCGACTTCATTCATAGTCTCCCAAAAGCGATGTGCATACTCTCGCAAGTTTTCGTTACTCTTCTTTTTCAGCGTCAGTAGAGCCCTAACATCCTTTGGTTGTTTACTGCTCGTGATGAATCGAGCGGTGAACTGCTCGGCTAATTGAGACCACCCGTCAATCGTTCCCTTTGGTAGGCTATCGATCCACTTCATGGCAAACTCCCCAAGGCTGCTGGGGAAGATAATGCAAAACAGCGGCTCATTTTTTCGGTGAATAGTCATTAGTTGTCGGAAGTGCCTGATATGTGAGGTTGGGTCGATCTTTCCGTCGTACAGCTTGAAGTTCGGGACGGTGAATTTGCTCAGGATGCGTGCCTTTTCAACCCAGGCAATGAATGAGAATGACTCCAATCCGTCTCCATACTCCTCGGTTGCTTTTCTAACTAGGTCTTTGGCCGACCTCTGCTTTGGTCTTTTCAAGCGAATGTTGAGCTCCTCGTCAATATACTGCTTTCACATGTCTTCATCCTAGATCTGAGGCTTCTTCTATCGGTAATCTTTCTCATCGACAATTCTAACTCTGTTGGGCTTCTTTCCCGAACTTTCTTGCCGAACCTCTCTCGCCCATTTTTCCCTTCTGGTCATCTCCTTTAACTTGGCTTTTAACTCTTCGTTTTATTTGATCAAATCTTTCTCCCTAGCGTAGGATTTCTTGAACAGCTTGTCGTGGGCATCAAGTCGATCCTGCAAGGACTAGATCAGTTTTGCCAAGGAGTGGTTCTCCCCCTCGACACGAAGGGATTTACCATGATCCTCGCTTTGCTGGTTCTGATTTTTCGAAGGCTAGAAACTGGCGGAGGATACCTTGTCACCTTCATAGATTCTAGAGGGGCTTCTGACTGCATGCAATCTTGCGTTGCTGTCAGAAGGAAGAGTCGCAGGATCTGAGTTCCCCAAGGCAAAACTGTCTACAGGTAATCCAATTGCGCTTCTGAGTCTTGACATCGTAGCTTTTTGTTCTGAAGAATGAAGATTTTCCCACAAACGGTGCCAAAATGTTGAGGCAGAAAATTGGTTATACCTCTATGTGAATTTGTGATGGATACGATTTCTGGGAATGAAATCTGAACAATCTCCTCAACTCTTTCCTACAAAACGAACAAACTATCCAAGATCGAAGTGTTTTGATCGAAGACACTCCGATACTTAAGTCAGTAATGGAACAGAAAGAATTGTGCTAAGTTTAGGAGAATTCAGTGTATCTTTCACCTTGGTCCCTTCCGCTTTTATAGATCATTCTCCCCTTAGGGTTTCCATGAATTTAGGTTCAAGGTGACACACATTCCTTTAATTCAGTAGTTGAGTTTGGAAGTTACTAATACTTCTCCAATAATTTCTCTTGATATCTTCAATCTCATCGATTTTGTTTATCTAACTGTCTAGATTTTAAGCGAATATTCATCTTTCCATCTATAGTTTTGAACAGCTCAGACATATCGAATGCCGAGCACCGTTGATATTCACCGAACAATTTAAGACTTGGTTTGACACAAACTAATCTTTTCAATTGCTTTCTAGAATACTCTAGGGAACCTGGCTTGTACAAGCCAAGTACTTCCCTTGCTAAGCTACCAGATTCATGAGCTCGACAATAAAGAGGGTCGAGCTCTTTCTTTATTTGCCTAATCCTTTGATAAGTTCAGCTCAAATCACGTGACCTGGTGAATGATTTCTTCGTCACGTGACTAGTCTTATCAATCTCACACGTGCTTATTTAATGCTCTAACACGTGTCATCATGAAGGCTAACCCTTTCAATAATAATATTTTTTTTTGCAAAGCAGAAAACTAAAACTCTTTATTCCCCCCCCCCCCCCCCCCCCCAAAAAAAAGGTATTTTTTTTACCAAGTATAACTTCATCCTAGAATATTTTATTGCCCTAGCAATAGCAATACACAACATGCGTTGCATTACACGTGAACATATTTGAATAATATTTTTTTATAAAAAAAATTTAAATCAAATTTATAATTAAATTATGTACTGAATACTTATTTCGTAAAATCCAATTTGACAACTACATGTATATAATAACAGAATATGGATTGAACTTTACTCCTTAATATAATATAAATACAAATGTAGATATAGAAAATTATATATAAGTGTACTATTAATAAAAGAATTTAAAAATTAAATACTATTAATAAAAGAGTCCAAAAGAAATTGGAAGTCAAATAAGTATAGAAAAAAAATTGGATGGAAGTAAATATGTGTGTATAATTGACTTTATAATAATAATTAGGAAGAAAATAGAAAATCAAAATTTTTTCACAAATGTTAATATTTATAAAGAGTTCAAAAGAAAGTAGAAGTCCTTATAAAATAATCTAAAATAAGTTCAAAGTCAAATAATAGTAAAAAAAACAAAAATTAAATGAAAGTATATAGGTGAGTATAATTAATCAAAAATAAGGTCAGATGGTCAGTTAGGATCGTCACGCATCCTAGAAACATGGTAAACAGAATGTCATATCAGTTACGCCTAAAGCCTCAGCAATTGCTTTGTTGCAAAACACTCAATTTAAAGTATGTGTCTCTGTGACCCATGTGTTCTTCCCTTGTCAGCAAAAGAATAAACTCAGAAGTGCATATAGGAAAGAATCAAGAAAATCTGTGGTTTTCAGGCTGTAGCATATACAAGAAAATCCCACCTGCAACTGAAACATTGAGGGACTCAAATTTCCCTGTCATTGGAATTCTTACAAGCTCAGAAAACTTCCTGGTTTGCTCGGAAAGGCCACTTCCTTCACTGCCCAAAACCATGAACAAAGGCGTATCTGCTAAGGAATTTGCAAGGTCCTGAGAAATCGAAGACACTGGTTTCAATTTTTCATCACTTGCAGGGTGGCCAGCCAAAATCTTCATTCGGAATTTTTTTCTGAGAGCTTCTAGATGAATCCAAGTGCCAGAAACTACAGGGAGCTGAAAGGAGGCTGCACGGCTAGCACGAATTGCTTTCTCGTTAAATGGATCACAACAGCCAGGAAGCAGAAAGACACCATCCTATTGGACATCAGCACAAAGGCCAGTTTGTTTTTGTTTGTTGAAAAGACAAAAATACTGCACTACATAGGCACAGAGATGCAAGGGTTACAAGGGAATTGTGTCGAGGAGTATTCCACAGTGTCACTAGTATAACTATTCAGTTAATGCAGATGGCATACCTCATTTTGGGCAAGTGCAAGTGAGAAATTAGACTAAAAAACAAAGAGGTTTGAATTGCAAAAGCACAGCACCAAGTAGAATGGAGCCACTAATTTTTTCCCTTTTTTGATAAGAAAACTAACATTCATAAAATGAAGAAAAGATTGCAATATAGTGGGCAAAAAATCCACTCAAAGAAAATCATATATGAAAGAAAGAGAAATTGAAACTTAGGATATCAAATTGAGGAAATTATACTAAAAAAACTTGAAACATAGCAATCTTATCACGTTGAACATAATTCTTCACACGATGGCAGAGAACAAAATGTTACAACTATAATAAAACACTGAAGCCAGGATCATCAATCAAGCTGATCCCTTGATGAATAGAAGATAATTCACTACTCTACTTTGAGGCTTCTGTTACAAGGAAGAGAAGCTTTGATAATGCAGAATGAGTGGGTAAGGGTATCACACAAATGAGCATAACAAATGATTCTTTTGGGAAGAAAAAAGCAGAACTGAAAGAGAATACAAGAAAATTATATTGGGAAGGGATAAAAGATTACCCATCTAAAAGCCATTGCCGATCTAAGTAATGTACCAAGATTACCAGGGTCCTGCAATGAACAAATTATCTTGATTTCATGTTATGCACATAAACAAATGCCCACAATAATTATTTGAAATGCATTATAGCTATAGGATAGAGCCAAATCCTTTTTTTGGCCTTGATAAATACAAGTGGAACAGTTCTCATAAATAATGTAAGATGTTACTACTTTTAAGCAGTGAGAAAAAATTGATGGTATTTACGGAGAAAATATAAGGAACACAGATGAAATTGTCAAGTTCAGCTCAAAAGACCTTCAAGCACTTCCACATTAACAAATAAAGCTGCAGTGAAATTTATGACTATAACCTGGATAGAAACCTAGAAGCACTTCGACAATTACAAATAACATTGCAGTGAAATTTATGCCTATAACCTGGATCCCGTCAAGAACAAGAATACGATGAAGCGATGGGAACCATCTATGGCAATCTCCCTCTTGCTGGTTGCCATCTAATATTTGGAAAGTTGACGGAATTCTCATTAAGGCCATGGCTTCAATAGATTCAGCTGATTGCAGCCCAGAAAGTTTCTTCAGCACCACTGAGCTAACATGAACAACACGAATAGGGTAACCTTCTAGCTCTGCTGGAATTTCAGCTTTATCAAGAAGAAGTAGGCATTCTATTGTTGTAGGTCTCTCTTGCATTTGCTCTTGAAACCTGTATATTTCCCTGTGACAATGCCGCGTGTAAAATTCAGTCCACACATGCTCCTGATTATCATTTATGTGTGAACTCAGATAGTGCTTGCCTAATCCAGAGGATTTCGACACGAACACCTAGTTGAAGAACAGAAAAAGAATGCACAATGGATCGATATAGGCTTACATAGTGGGATTGCTTCACAGAAGTGTGAAAGAGAAGTGCTAATAACCTACACAAACTTCTTTATTTAATCTGAAAAGACAAACAAAATGAACTAGCTGAAAATGGAACCAAGTGAAAAACAAAACAAACAAAAATATAGATAAAGAAACAATTTTACGCATTCTTAAATTTACAGCTTTCTATCCCTGGTGACAATAATTTGCTTTGTTAGATCAATACGAGCAGAACTTAGGTTGTCTGATAGCTCTATTATGTCAATAGTACTTGAGGTTATGGTGGAAATTCTGTGATGGCTAAAATTATCCACTCTCCTTAGTAAAATCTTTACACGCATATTGTTAATGTAAGAAACAAGAGGTGAGGCAATATATTGGCTTATCGATACGCGAACCTTGGTTGGATGAGGGAAACTGCAACCTAACCCCAAAAGAACTATCAATATGTCCTAGGAATTTTGGGCATCAAGAATCCAATGTTCTATTGGATGAATGCAACCTAACACCCAAAGAACTATCAACTTTTCCTTGGAATTTGGGTATCGAGAATCAACAGTTTACTCCATCTTTTACACAATTCTAGGAAAAAAATGTAAAGAATAGGAAGCTCGCAAAAAAGAAAAAAGAAGAATTGAAGCAGAATTTTTTGTGTATTTGTGCACAAGTTATCCTTATAGCTGTCTGAGGAAGCTCCTGAAATGAAAAAGGAAAAAGAAAAAGAAAAAGAAAAAACATTGACATACATTTTACCAAATAACTAGTAGTCCACAAAATAGCATAGACCCATTTCCATTTAAGCAAGCACATAGATAATTTCAGGAACATACATACAAGACAAGTTCAAATGAAAGAAAATTGGATAGCCCGATACCTTATTGGGGTAGTGCCAACAACAAGAACTGAACCATGATTATGGCGATAAGAAGAGCAACTTCGAAGTTTGAGGCAGTGCTTGACAAATGGGTTTGACGTGCTTGTAATGGATTTCACATGAGAGGGTAAAGGAAGTGTCACCACTGAATTTTCAGCCCCATCACCATAGCCATCATCAACAGCATAAGCATCTGAGCTCCTTTGAGTACGAGTTCGGGTTTGTAAAATTGATGAATTGGCCTTTGAATTTGATGCTTTAACAAATGGTAAATGAACTGTTGATACCCGGGATGTGTTCAGACATTGCATCCTTTTTCTTCTTCTTCTTCTTCTCTTTCCCTCTAAACTATAAAGCACCAAACTAATAATTCGCAATTTTTTTTTTATTTGTTGTTGGGTAAATAATAATTCACATGTTCGTACAATCGTACCCCTTCTTCATAAGAATGCTCGTAATTTTAATTTTTTTCGCTGTAGTTCTTTTATTTTTATGCTGTTCTTTTTTGGATATTCTACTTTTAGAGATAAGTAATTAAATATTTTAATAACCTTCCGAAAAAATATTGGATGAGGCTATTCTCATTCCCGCAAATTTTATTTTTATCCTATTTAATTTTTCATTATCAAATCTATTCTCACTCTATTAATTAACTTCGTCTCATACTACATACATCACATTTAATAAGTAAACTCATTTTATGTTTTATTATAATTAAAGTTTTATTCTCTATCTTATTTCCTACACTCACAAAAACACTTTTTTAATATAAATTTTTTTTAATTAGATACAGATTAGTATTACTTTTCAATTTAATTCTATGTTTGATTTCATATTTGTTATATGAATTTGTATTATTTTCGGTATATAAGTATGTTTTCAGATTATTTGTTTGTTTTTTATCCTATTAAAGTTTTGCATTTATACTTGTTATTTTTTTTCTTGTTCAATTTTGTATCTTTGATTGATGCTTTTTTTTTTCATATTCAGTTTTGTGTTTTGTAGTTTTGTATGTTCTTTTAATCTTTGTTTAGATTTTTTTATCTTATTTGCTTCGGTTTACTTCTTTCTTTATGTTTTTTTTTCTTATTTCCTTATTTTCTTTTTTCTTGTTTCGGTCTGCTTTTTTTTTTTTTTTTTCTTATTTCAGCATACTTATTTTTTTTTCTTGCTTCGTTTTTGATCTTTTTTTCTTGTTTCAGTTTTGCTTGGTTCTTTTTTTTTTATTATTTCATAAATATATTTATGCATTCAAACTAATTATCTTATTTCATTATTTTTTTCTTACGATGACCTTTTTTATTAAAGATGTGCACATAAAATTAGTGAGCTTAATTATTAATAAGGTATATATAACATCACTAATGGTGTAGGCATAAAATAGAAGGGTGTGGACTCAGTAGTTTGATAATAAGAAATTAAATAGGGTGAGAATAGAGATTTGTGGGGTGATAATAATTGCACCCAAAAAAATTAGATATTTTAATCAATTGTTGGGTATAAGGTTTTGGAATCTTTCCTCCCCAATTGTCCAGTTCTCAAATTTTCTTTATTAAAATAAAAAAAAATTAATTTTATCCAACTAACCACATTATTCACCTGAAATTTTAATCGCATACTTTTTAACTTCTCACCTTCTATCTCTTTATCTCTCTTATGTTATGCCACAATTTATTCTTTAACAGTTTATCCACAAACATCTCACAAATTTTTTTCTCCTTAACTTCTCATTTCGTCTTTTTTTCTCTTTATTCTCTCTAACAATAATAAAATGACTAATGTTATTATAATTTAAAATTTAATATAATTTGTTATCATAATAATGTATTGATAGTAATAGAAAATGAGAAGCCCGTGACCAACCGAGAAGAGGGGTCTAGGAGGTTGGGAAAAGAGGGGGGAGGGAGGGTTAGAGAAGTCCACCAGTTGAACGATTAATATTTCGTTTGGTAGGAAGGATGAAAAATAGAAGAGATACATTTTCTATCATTTAAGAATGAAAAATAAAAATGACTATTTTTTTTTTGTGTTGGTTAAGATTAAGGGTGATAATGAAGTCGTGTCGTGTCAAATTCGTGTTGAGTCATAAAATTATGAGCATTTTTATATTTCTTGTTCACATGTCAGATCATCTTCAAGTTCGTGTCATAAAATTCGTGTCGAGTTTAAGTCGTGTCATCGTGTTAAATCGAAAATTTTCACTCCTAGTTAAAATGAAAAAAATATTTTTTAATATACATACATATTTTATCATTGTATTTTTATATGAAATTAATGTATACATAATATATAGACAAATAAGATACATCTCAACACAAATAATTAACTTTCCATCCACTTTCCTTTCAATTTTGAAGGGATTGGATTTAATCAGTTAGAAAGAAAGTTAAACCATCTACTTTTTCATCCTTCCTTTACCAAATATGATGTTTTGTTTATCTCTCAAATTTTCTATCCTTCTAACTTTTCTTCCTTCTATTTTTTCATCATACCAAACGGAGCATAAATCACTATTTTTCACCTAAAGTTTTAGTTTTCCAAGAAAATTAGGAGCTAGATGTATCAAGTTACAACAATCAATCTTCACTATAATGTGGTTAACAACTTGGATTTCCTCACTTAATATTTGAGGTTGAGTCTCCATAATTATAATAATTTAATAAGACTAAACATACTCTTCAAAGCGTAAAACACGTAGTGAAACCTTAGTTTCGACCCCAACATAAATGCGATGAGATCTTTTACAAACATTTGTGTTGTGCGGAAAAAAAATACTCACTCCGTTCCTAAATATCTGTCATTTAAGGTTTTTGCACAGAGATTAAGAAAGTTTTAAATAACTCAAATATGAGTAAAAAATAATTACACAAAATTAAAATACTCTTATTCAATATGTATTACGAAAAAAAAGAATATGAAAAGCACATATCCTCCACCAAATCTAATGCATTAAAAAGTTAAGGGTAAATTTGAAAGAAAAAATATTAATTATGTTTTAGTTTCATTAAGCGATAGATATTATAGAACAAAAAAAATTGTGTAAAACTACAGATATTTAGGAACGGAAGGAGTACTCCGTAATAGATATGTAAAATAATCTATTTGCATATCAATTTCATGACCAAAAATAAAAATAAAAGAACACAAAACCAACTTTCTATTGTTCACATGAAAGCATATTTTAAACTTAAGTTTTTATTTTAAATTAAAAAACATGAGTTTAAACCACGTTTTTATAGAAACAATAGTATCTCGGAAATAAGTTAGAAAATGTGGTAATAAAACAACAAAGATCCCAAAAATATAAAAATATTCAGGGGAGAGCAAATCCTACAATCTCTGAGATGGAGGCAAAGTCGGCGACACTCCATCATCAGCATATTCATCGATAGATGCCATTGGGGTGTGAACATACGTCCTTTGGGAGGTTGAAGGGAACCTCTCCGACGTTGATACCATACCATCATTCCTCTGAATTGCTGCAGGCATATACATCTTCTCAGAAGTTGGGGGCATAGCATCATTCCTTTGAGAAGGCATCATGTCACTCCTGTACGATGTTGACATGTACATCCTCTCTGAAGCTGGATGCATAGAATTGTCATTCCTCAAAGACATCAAGCTCATATTGTCACCCCTGTGAGATGTCAGCACGTATAACCTCTCGGTATTCAGGTGCATGGTAGCGTCAGTCCTTTGAGATGTTGGACCAATATTTTCATTCATGTGAGACATCGTAGGCAAGTATACCTTCTCAGTAGTTGGATAAATATTAGCATCTGTCCTTTGCGAAATTGACCCCATACCATCATTCCTGAGAGATACTGGATCTACGACATCATTCCTCGGAGGTGCAGGAATGTATAAACTCTCAGAAGTCAAAGAAACAGCAGCGTTCATCCTCTGAGATGTTGAAGCCATGTTATCAATCCTCTGAGAAGTTGGAGGCATATAAATTCTGTCAGAGGTTGACAAAAGAGTTTCAGTCATTTGGGATGTCAAGGGTCGAGTGCGATCCCACTTGGATGTTTGAGATACTAGCATCCTCTCAGATGTTGGAGGCACAGGGAGTGTCACTTGGCCTGGCACATCCCTTGCAGTTGGAGGTGCAGATAGCGACATTTCATGGTTCATTGAATCCCTTTCAGATGTTGAAGGAATGTTCAGCGACCCATCCTGGCTCAGGAAGTCACTATCGGTGGTTGGATGAATAGAAGGTGACAATCCAGGGTCTTGCAAGTCCCCTTCTGATGCAGGAGACAAGGGCAGGGGTGTATTCTGGCTAGCTAAATCTCTCTCGGATGCTGAAGGCATGGCTGGTGATAATTCATGGCTCGGTAAATCACTCTCAGATGTTCGATGCTGCACCAGGGATCCTACTCGACTTGTTATTTCTGCCTCAGAGGTTGGAGGGAGATGTAGTGACGTTCTTCGGCTTGGTAAGTCCTTCCATTGTTGTGCTACTGTTTTAATTTGAGTGTAAAATTGCACACCTGCCTTCCCTGCAATTCAGAATAAAGTAAAGAAGCTATTTACGTTGCCATTAAAAAGAGGAAGGGAATAACGGTCGGTAAAGCAACTGTGTACACGTATTGGGTGTGTGTTTGTGTAAAGAGAGAGAAGATGACATACCGCAGAAATTCAGATCACCAGCAAAAGATGCCTTGGAACCATTGAATGAGGAAAATGGCAATGGAATTGGAACAGGAACATTTATGCCAACCTGAGTCACCCTTGATCATGTCAGAGAAAATCCAAATCATGCAGTTGAACATAAACAAGTTCAAGCAATTCTTGCCAGATGAGATGAGTTGGCTTACCAGCCCAGCCTCAACTTCATTCTGGAACTTCCTAGCAGCAATACCAGATGTAGTGAATATGGAAGCTCCAAATCCATATCTGAAACAACAGGAGACCAGGAATAACAAGGCAGAAAAGTAATTCAAAGAGTTTTGATTTGTCAAAGGCAAAATGAGTGTGATTTCAACATATTGCTAGAAGGAAACATGTAAACATATGATTGATTACGTTTCCTGAAATTTAATATCTGAGTATATGTCCAGAACTTCTAAAATAGTCCTTGGGGTAGAGAAAGAATTCATGACCAGAACAACATTCAAATATACAGAAAAAAGGTGGGGAATATCATGATATCTCTTGATTACTAGTAGGGAGAAATACTAGAATCATTTCAAAATATCTTATCCGAAAAAGTCATTTACAAATTACAATAAAGCAACAGAAACTGCATGAGAAAAGAAACTTGAATAGACATCCAAATCTGACATTAAAAATTCAAAAGAAATAAGAGTGAAGGCAATTACTTGTTCCTATT